GGGAGCGGGGTGGGGAGGGGTCAGGGGGGCTGGCAGAGGTCCCCCCATGGTCTCCTGTCCCCTCCCCTGCCCCCTATTTATCAGCTTGGAGTCAGCTGCAGCTCCCTGCTGCAGCCACCGGGGACTGCCTGAATCATCAAAGCTCTCCGAATCTTTTCCGAAGATTCGGAGACCTATGAATTGATTTTGACCTTTAAATTGGTCCCGATTTGATTCAGATTCAGAGATTTGGCCACCGAATTGAGCCAAATTTCCTCCGAATTGAATCACCTCCTGAAGCTTCGCATGGCCCTAGTGTAGATGATAAAGTTAGTAGGAATCCAGTATATAGATGTATGCTGTTTATTTTGCTTGCATGCTATCAGCATAAAGTTCCTATGGGTTTTTTTCCCCCATGTTTATTATCATGTAACTACTCCAGTGATGCACTCACTACAGGTGAGTTTTCCTGCAAAGCTTAGTACCTGGATAATTCCTCCTATTCAGGCAAAACTTTCATGGAAGTCTGACAGTTTGTTTGGGTAGGGACTTCAGAATATAGCTAGAGAAAATGTTACTAGATATGGAGAATTTCTCGTGGGGCTAATGTAGAAGATGATGGTCCAACATTTACTTCTAATTACATTTTAACATTATCTTCTTTTAGATGATGACCAAAATGTATTCCCCCACATACTGGTGGGTCCAGTATGAACCCGCTGATTCTATAATTGCTGAAATGAAGGAGTGGCTTCTGTATGGCGATTCTATTGAGAGACTGTGCAAAGGTGTGCCTCTTTATGGAGTCCACAAGGTTGAAAGTAAGTACTATGAATCAAACTGAATCCCTTGTCAGGGATCTGCTTTTCCTACTCCTATCTCTCTATTGACGTAGCATCTGAACATGTCACCTGCCCTGCATACTTTTATCCTCATATCACCTCTGTGAGATAAGGAACTGCTATTGTCCCCATATTACAGGGAGGGAATGGGGACACAGACAGATATTTTTTAATGATTTAGAAGCCTACAATACAGAGTGATCAGTGGGGCTCAGAAGTCAAATGTCACACAGGGAGTTGATGGTAGAGCCAGAAATCGAGTGCTTATCTCCAGCTAACTGTACCACCCTTCCTGTCTTGCTCAAAGTGTAATGGCAGCTTGGGCTCATTGCGATTCAAACAGCTCTGCATGCCATGGTTTTGTATAGAAATGAGTTTACTGCAGTGCCCGTTGGCTGTGGAGCCCATGTTGCTACTCCTGTATTCCAACTCAGCCCTGACCATTGGCATAGGAAGATATTGCCAGCTTCTTATGCCATGCAGTTATAATTCACCCATAACAGAGCCAACATATGCCAGGAGACTGTCTTAGCACGCAGCTGAACACACAGGAGAAAGGTGGCTTAAAGCACTATTTACATCTCCTCCCTCTGAGTGGCACCATCAGAGCTTTATGCAACTACAGTTCAGATCAATTGGGACCTTGTAATGTATCATAACTTGGAATTAAGACCTGTGCTTGCATATCTAAAGATTTTGGCTTACTTGATTTTGGAGAATTGTCAGTGAAAATCTGTTTATGTTCCTTGTTTCCTGTTTAGGTGGAATTAACTCTGGTGGCTGTTTTAAAACAGGAATCCTAGGCATTTTGCACATTTCTGTATGTGGAAAAGTCCATGTATAGATGTGACCCTGGCAGTGCCATTATTTGGAGAGGGCTCATCATTTTTTGTGTGCTTCCTGCTTTGAATATTTTGATGACTATTCAACTGAGATAAATCTCATTGTTCTACTTAATCAGCCTCTCCTCCTCTTTGAATACAACAAGCCATGATATACCAATAAAGAGAGTGCAACCTTGCAAGTGCCTTGCTTTTCTGTTTGAAAACAGCAAAACAAAAGTAAATGAAAACTCTCTTCTTGTCTTTTTGTGTTGTTAAGATGTTTTCCTCCAAAGCAAAATGAGTTTGCCATGGGTACACAGATTGGTAACATGCATTGTGACATGCACAGTGAGGACCTTTTAAAATGACCTCCTCCATACAGTGCACAGATACTTCCTGCCCTTCTATCGGACTTGAAATAAGAAACAGAGGGAGGGGTGCTAGTTTGTGTTCATGCATGGTCTCAGACACATCCTCAAGGCTTCACATTCACTTCTATTGTGTGTTATTTAAACATCGCTTTTCGACATGGGTCTGAACCAAATCTCTGAAATTTAAATACCTCAAATTTGAGAAGTGTATAGCCACATGCTCACATTTGCCATCCATTTCTGTAACATGTGGAACCAAATCTTGGCACTGAATGCCATCTCCAGGGCCAGATAAATGCATTGGCAAACTAGGCACACGCCTAGGGCCCTGATCTGTACAGGGGGCCGGTCCTTTCCTCCCTGGTGGCAGCACAAATAGCCCCGTCTGGCTGCCTTCTCTTCCCCTACCCTCTCCCAGCCTCACCACTATGGTGGCTGCTTCCTAGTGGCAGCTCCAAGCCCTGCTCCCCACGGGCGGCAGCACCAGGATAGGGCGGGGGAGGGTCTCGACTGGCCTGGGGCCCACAGATTTGTTTGCCTAAGGCCATGACCATCTCTCCAACTTCAGAAAATTTGGGCTGGGATCCAATGTTTTTCAATACATTTCTGAATTCTTATGGATTTAGACTGGGATTTTCAAAGGGTCTAAGCCTATGAGAACAGGCTGGCTAGCTCCAGCAAGGTCTGGGGAAACCTCAGCATAACTGATAATGAGCATCAGCAGGAGGATGTCAAAGATCGAAGTAATACCTGTGAGCCCCAATCAGGGACCTTGCGCCAGGTGCTGTACAAACATGAAACAAAAAGGTAGTCCATACCCCAAAGAGCATTAACCTAAAGTAACCCCCAGCCTCAGTTCTTCAGCCCAGCTATCTCTAGTCTACCAGTTCTAATCCCAGTCCCAGTAGCTTTCACAGCCAGCAACTTTCACTCCCTACACTTCCACTTTCTTACCTTAACCTTTCCCCAGGTATCCCAAGTATATCAAGCACATACATACATACATATCACAACACCCAAGTTAGGAACTCATCTGTGTGTACATGTAGGTAAGTGTATGTATGTAAACTGATATACATATATGTCACTGTGTGCATGATATACAAATTAGTGATCCGTGTGTGTGTATTGGGTGTGCAGGTATTGATAATTGATTCTGGTCTAATTTTTGGTCTGTATAGTGTGTGTAGGTGTTTGAACTGGTGACAGGTGTGCATATGCCTAGGCTGGTAATTGGCTATGTGTGTGTGTATGCACCTAATTGATTTCTGTGCTTGTGTATGTGCAATTGTACACTGCGCCCTCCTGTCTAGCAGCACAATTTTTCTTCTGAAAGTATTCCACTAATGCTGCAGGAGAACATAATACGGATAGAGATTTTAAGAATAGGAATTGCACTGATACGCTTTAGTCTTGCCTTCCAAGACTATTACTGAATCGCAGTGTCCAGACTTCAAAAAGGATATTGACCAAAATAGGTTATTCAGAAAAGCATGTCAGGATATGTTTGATCATGCCTGACAGGGAACAAATACAGACTCCCCATTTATTTAGCCTATAGACAAGAAGGCAAAGCATCTTTAAGGTAAAAAGAGGAAAAAGAGATCTCTAAGGTTAAAAGCGTCTACAGTGTATGAAATGTAACTACTTCTCCGGTGGCTAGGTGCCAGCCTTGAACAAGGTCATGTTAGCAACAGGGTGCTAAATCTTTAAACACTAAGGAAGGTTGATCCTGGCAGGGGAAAGACAAATTAGAGAGATGTATTTTTAAAAGAAAAGTGATAGCAGAATTAATAGCAGACTCCTTCCTACTGTGAATGATTACTGTGATGTACATTTGTTTGCAGTACTGCCCTGTATGCTAGGCTCTTTCAAATGAGTAAAGAAGCTCAAACTGTGGTCTAAGGAACTCAAAATTTAAGGAATATTGCAGTCCATTGAAATAGCTCTCATTGGTGATATGTGCGAATATGGTGCCTAAATACCTTGGACTCTATTATTAATCCAGGTCATGCCTTCATTTAAAGGAACTCTGTGATACTACAGTAATATTCTCGGTGAATTTTGTAGCTGCTGAATTCTAGAATAAACGGGACACTGACAATCGCTGTGTAGTTTACAATTTTCAAGACTTACCTTTGTTGACTGGGAAGAAAAATAGAAGCTTCATGACTCTTCATAGGTTTTCATCTCTCCTGATCCACCTCTGTCTGTGTCTCTGTGAAATAATACATACTTGCCTCCTTTCATTGCATAAATAATGGCTGAAATGACTTATATCATTAAAATGAATACCTGGAACAAAGTTATAATGACATAGGCTCTCATATGACACCTGACCAAATTTGATACCAAGATCACCAAGGCTAAGATGTCCAAATCCCACATACTTTCAATGTGCTCCAGGTTCTGTGATAAGTTAAGTATCCATGAACAAACTGTGAGCACAGAGTGAGGTAATGCAGCGTGCCAGAGTGCAGTGCCACAGGCCCAGTAGGAGGGATTTCCAGTCATGAGCATTGGTCTCTGTCCCCAAAGGTGACCCCATGGGGGGAGCAGAGAGGAGTCAGTCCCTGGGGAGCACTGTTATTAGTGCTAACTTTATTGTCCCAGTGTGGTGATAAGTTGAACTTTGTGGTTCAGGAAGTGATTTCACTGTTATCAGAAGTCATCTTTCACACCAAAACATAAGTAAAATGTCATGGCATACTGGAATAGCACAGGGAGATGGGCCTGATGAGAAAGGGATCAACAGTGAACTTACCGCCTGATAAAGTTGCGGGGAAAAACAGTTATGCGGAAAATGTAATGAGTGAAAGCAATGCCAGTGAATATATTGTTTGTAGTCTAGACCTTCTTACTGGGGATTAGGTATTTTAGTTCTAGTTTTTTAAGCACTGTACTCAAAAATCTAGGAGGGCCAGTTCCTCCTGCTTGTTTCCCATGCTTCTGGCACAGTATACAGGCAACTAAGTCTGCCATTGGAGGCCCTGGGCTTCCTGGTGATCTGTGGAATAACCTGTCCATTGGCTGGTGTCGGAGCATGTTTCATATTGGACCCTGGGATGCTGGTTTGAAGGCTGCCATTTCTTGGGCTTGTGCTAGTAGTTGATAGCCTGTTCCCCAGCCATCTCAGTTTAAAGCCCTATCCAGGAGGTCTGCCGTTATAGCTGAGAAAGCTTCTTCCCCTTTGACATGAGGTGGATGTCATCTTTTCCCAATAGGCTTCAGTCCCTGAGGTGAATGCCATGGTCGAAGAAGCCAAAGCCCTTGTGGTAGCACCATCACCAGAGTCTTCTTTTACTTCTTCCATGCATATATCCTTCCTGCACCCATGACTCAAAACTGGGAGGACCAAGGACAAACCTACCTGTGTCCCCGATCCCCTGAGGGTCTAAATGTTGGGTCTAAAGACTAAAATGTTGCCTTTGGGTGCCAATGCCATTCAGTTTACCTGGGTAACTGGTTGAGATTCTATTACTTTCCATTTTGATTCTGGACTTTTCACTGGGCAGCATTCACTATCTGCACCTTAGTCACATGACTAATACTAATAGCCTCTGAGCTTGCTCTGGCATGAGAAGTGTCAGCTCCCTACCACCCATACCCACTGTGCAGCTGTGCTTGTCATCACTTCTCCTGTGAGCCATGATGCGAGGTATGGGGAAATGGTGAAATATGAGCAGCCTGTGAGTCTCCCCACTGGGTCAGAATATAACAGACAAGTAGTTGTTGTACCCTTCCCTGGAGCAGCAAGGGACTGCCTACACTGTGCTTGTGGCACTATGTCCTTTGAGGGTCCCTCCTTGAGTGAGTGGCGGTATGGCCGTGATGAAGATAGTGGTGGTGTGGGCCGTGGAGCCTATTGAGTTATACCAGTTTTCATGGCAGATTTCCTTCCCATTTTTCCCTAAAAACCTTTGCATAGGTGTACTCTGAATTTATGTACCAGGTGCTTGTAGGAACTAGGGTTATGTTTAGACCCATCTATACCCACAGTCTGGATGGCAGCAGAGCTCTATGGACATGGAAGAATCAGAAGTAGTATTTGGAGTAGAAAATAGAAAGCAGGATCCCCAGCCCCTGTGGCACTGTCACACCTCTCTGGGTCACAGAATTATCTTCTCTTTCTAACAACATGATTTCTCAATCTTTTCTATTCAGTGGCCCAGCTTCTACAGAAGGGGCTGAGAGTGTGCCCAAACTCTATTGCAACCACATCTATAGTCTGGGAGTTAAGATACTTTCTCTAAGTGGGATCTTATATTTGAACACCTTAAGGCTGAGAAGGGAAGTTGACAGCTCTCTCACTTTCTGGGCCACCACCCTATTAAAAAAACAGGTGCTCAGTCCTGTCAAGCTGGAGAAAAGTGAGTCAACTGACCATATCTAAACCCAAGAGAAGGCTTAGTGCTAACAATCCCAATCTCAAGAAGTTGCCTAACTCAAGGCTGCAGGGCAAAGGCATAGAAGTGCATTTCCATGCCTGGGGCAGTTCTGGCTCCTGGTGTGCTGACTGCAGTAGCACAATCATCCACCAGTGACAACAGCTTCTTTTGCACTCCTGCCATCCCCACTCTTCCCTGCTCCCATTCAAAAGCAGCACCTGGGGCTGCTGCCCCAGTTCCCCACCCATCACCACCTCCCTTAGTTACACGACTGCTGCAGGGAATATCTGCCTTTTCAGGGAGGGGTGGGATTT